ATTATGCACCGGGTCTGTCTGGGGTAGTGCGACCCCGTCAAGGGCCAACTCCTGACAAATTCCTAGATCTTGAGGCTCCCTGTACCCACAGCCATTCCGTCTTACCAGGGTTCAGTTGAAGCCTGTTGGCCCCCATCCAGGCCCCTATAGCATCCGGGCCCCTACAGCCTCCAGGCACCACAAGAGGGTAGTCACAGCATCACTTAGGACATGTGGGATGGAGATGTATAATTGGGTATCATCAGCATACTGATGATACCTCATCCCATGGTGCCGGATGATCTCACCCAAAGGTTTCATGTAGATGTTAAATAGGAGTGGTGAAAGCACCAAACCCTGAGGCACCCCACAAAGTAGGGGCCGGGGGCTGGACCTCTCGCTCCCTATCAACACCATTTGGGTTCAGCCTTGGAGAAAGGAGCTGAACCAGCACAACACTGTGCCACCCAGCCCCAACTCGTGCAGCCGACCCAAAAGGATACCATGGTCGATGGTATTGAAAGCTGCTGAGAGGTCAAGAAGTGCAAGGATGGATGCACTCCCCCCATCCCGCTCTCGCCAGAGATCATCCAAAAGTGCGACCAATGCTGTTTCTGTCCCATAACCAGGCCTGAACCCTGACTGATAGGGGTCCAGATAATAAGGCTGATAGCGGTCCAGATAATTAAATACTGGAAGCCAACAACTGGTGTGAATTTTCCGATTTGGGCAACACTGGAATATACATATAAAGTACCTTTGGTTGGATGGACAGTATAGGATCTAAATACAACAGTACTCTAATATTTCTGGAAATGATTATGTCAATTAGAAACCTATGGAATGGAATGTCTAATAAAAAAAGATTCAACCCTTTTTCTCATGCTAAATTGACTATATGGGGAAACTCAACATTAAAAATTGAAGAAAAGATGGTGATATGGAAAAGTTGGATGGAAGCGGGGATACTAACTTTGGACCAACTGATAGTTGATGAAGATGAATTTTTAACATATGCTGTGTTAAGAGATAAATATCATCTACTAGACGTAATCCAATGGCAATATTTACTGCTACAACATCTGTTAACAACACTGTTTTCACCAGCAGCATTTTCTGCTTCTGAGACATCCGAGATACTAGAACAACTTGTTAAATCTTTCAGAACTAAAAAACCTACTATTAGTTTTGTAGATATTTGTTATCATTAAATCAATTTGATATGCAGATGTTAAGGGATGAGTGGAATAAAGAATTAGAAGTTGCTATATTGCCTAGACAATGGGAGAGTTTCTTAACTTCTATAGCAAGAGTGTCAATGGACTTCAAACTACGACTTATACAACAAAAAACAATAATTAGAATTTATTGGACTCTACTTCATTTGTATAAAAAAGGACTGAATAAGACAGAATTCTGTTGAACATGTAATAAGGATAATGCTTCTTTAAAAGACAGGTTTTTACAATGTCCTATACTTACTAAGTTTTGGGAGAAAGTAGTGGACTCCTATACAAATATGACTGTGAGACAAAAGCTGAAATTTTCAGAGAACAATATTCTTTTGAACTATATACCTAGTACATGGAATTTGACATCCGGACAACCTAAATGGATTCTCCATACCCTTACTATGGCTGATATTGCAGCATTAGAAAGATAAATGTATGGCCCCAT